TGTTTAATATTTTAACCATCTGAAATTATGTAACTTTTTCATTTTATGATATATATTTAATCACGGTGCAATAATTAATATCGTACAGTAAGAAACTAAACATTTGGCTATCGGGCAGAAAAAAAACTCTTTTTGACAAACAGTGTAATTACAAAGCTGTTCTTCTTTACTTAATTGCTTTTTTGCATTTGAAATAAAAATTTTGAAAATCTAAATCAATTATATGCTAACATACTGTAACACAAGTATAAAATGTGAAGATATTACGCACATTGTTGTTATACTACGTAACCTCAGATGGCAGCATAAATCTACTGCAGATAAGAACCTTGTAGGTTAAGAGATATTCTTCCACCAACAAGTGCAATCGGTCGACTTTCAATTTTGTTGTGATTGTGATCCCGTAAAAGGTAAACTTGGTGTTTTTTGATCATATCAGTAATTGAAAGTTGATCATATCATATTTTGAACGCTCTACGATAGTAAAATATTTTGAATATTTTCTTTTATTTTGATATGTGTGACCCACCTCAGTTTAGTAAATTTTTATGTGGCCCACCAACCAATTTGGGTTGGGCACCCCTGATCCAGAGGGAAATGAGATTGCGGACACTTTGGCCAAGGCTGGCATTTGCGAGGTACCAGAGCAGTCAACACCCCTCACCTTTTTGGAGATTTTCTCTAGAACTAAACACCAGAATAAAACCGCTTGGATTACCCACCAGAGCATCATTGGTATCAGTGTTCTCGTCTTGGAGGCTCTATGGCACACGGTTTTACAAGGCAGGATCAAACTCTTCTAGCCCGCTTTCAAAGTGGTCATATCAAAACAATGAAATTTTCCGCAGGACGCAAGAGCTTTGAAATGTGCACGAACTATTCTTCTGAGCCGGCCACGCCTGCTCACATTCTCGAGTGCCTAGGGCTCACCAAGTAGGACTTGCAGACGTTCCCTTGCTGGTGTTGGACTTTCTGAAAGTCTACAATGTCATGGACCAAGTCTAGCACTGCTGACCAATGTGAGCGTGTAACAACAACATATTTTATCCGAAGATTTCTACCTTGACGTGCTCAGAGCTGGTATAAAGAGACCAATGGTTTTTCTCAAGCGGCAAACTACTGAAAAAGGGATCAATGCATTCAATCCATTTATTTTGAATGTTCTTGGTGCGAATATGGATTTTCAGTTCCTAATTGAGGAGTATTCGTGTGCTGCATACGTCGTCGAATATGTCAACAAAACCAACCGAGGTATCAGTAATCTTCAGCGCAAAATTATTGAAATCATGGATGAACATCCCGAGTTTGACATAGTCGAAATTACGCGAAAACTTAGCATAGACCTGCTCAATGCTGGTAAATGACAAGTCAGAAAGCTGCTTGGTTCCTACTGCACTTGCCAATGTCATCCAGTTCCATGAAAGTCGTTTATATAGCCACTGTTCTACCGATTGAAAGAGAACGCGTAAAAAAAACTCTTGAGCAATTGAATGCCGAGGAAATTGATAATGATTCCACTAATTATGGCAAAATAATTGTTTTGACAAGTACGAAAGAAGACCAGTAGAACACTGGAGGATCTTACTTTAGCTCAAGCAACCGCTTATTATACGGTGACAAACAATGAACGGAAAAAATGGCAAGTGGGACCACGGATAATTCGATATCACAATTATGATACGGCCACTGAACTAGAAGTGTATAAAAGCGAAATGGTAACATTGTATTTACCATTTCGCAATGAAGAGGCTGAAATTTTGGCTGAACGAAAATATATACAAATATATAATGACAATGAAATCACTATAATGCTGGCTAGAAAAGAGTTTGAGTCAAATCTAGACATTGCTAAGACAATGGAAATTTGTCGTCAGATGTTTATTGCGAATGAGGAAACCGATCAGAACGATGTTGAAAACTTGGCTGCTCGTGTTCCTGCAGTAGACCCATTTCCTGATTTTAACGCCGTTGTAAATACCGAAACGAATGCTGAAATGCAGATGGCATTGCTCAGTCGACTTGGACCCGTTGTCAGGAAACGGGAAAATCTTATGCTCAGAGAAGATTTTAATAATTTGATGCGAATGGCAACGTCATTACTAATGCGTGTCATAAAGACGCTACTCGATAGTGAGTCCCAGCCCATACAAATCTTCTTCACAGGACCTGCAGGTTGCGGTAAAACATTCGTAATTAAATTACTCATGGAAATTTACAACCGATTTACCCAAACCGATGGGTATTGTAATGCATATATCACATGTGCCTCAACGGGCAAAGCAGCTGTTGCAATTAATGGCCTTACTATCCACACCGCATTGAAAATTTCCTTTGGCAAAAATTTACCACTCTCTAATGAAGCGGTCCAACAATTTCGAACATTGTTCAAGCAAGTACTTTGCATTATTATCGAAGAAATTAGCATGATGTCGGCGGAAATTTTACTTCAAGTTGATGCCAGATTGAAGCAGATAACGGGAAATTATGGTCCAGTCTTCGGGGGAAAAGACATATTTTTAATTGGAGATTTGCGACACTCGCAGCCAGTCCATGCGACTCTAATATTTAACCAAATTAAAATGTCTCTAGCTAGTCCAATGCTTTGGCGAGGCCTTCAGTTTTATCAATTGACTCAAATCATGAGGCAATCGAATGCTAGTTTCTCTCGTATACTCACTAAAATTGGCGACGGTGAGAAATTGGAAGCCGACGAGCAGAGATTGATTGAGTCTAGATTTGTTACGAAAGAACATGCAGATAATCTTTGCCCTCATGGTGTGAGACTCTTTTTGAGGAATCACGACGTGAATGAATATAATTTGAGTATACTCAACAGGGCAGAAGACAGAATAGTTTCCATTGCGAATTACACATTCACCGGATTCCACAACGCAGGACAATTAGCGTTTGTTTGGCAGAAACTTCATAAAATGTTGATACTCAGTACTGGTGGCTTGCTATACGAACTGACTTTAGTGATTGATATATGCCATACATCCTTACAACGAACGTAGATGTAGCCGATGTATTATCTAATGGAACTTACGGTCATTTAAAACTTGTTGAGAAATACAAAATTGTTCCTCCAGAGGAGAATGCAAACATTGGAGATGTTAAGCGGCTTTGGTTAAAATTTGCTGGCAGTTCCAGAATTGGTCAAAAGACGAGAAAATTGGCTGCAAAATATATATGCAAGACAAAAACATATCCAAAGACTGGGTACCCATTGGTCGACGCAACGCCTCTATTTATCTCAACAATAATAGAACTGTAATTGCAAAAAGGAATCACTTTCCACTTACGCCGGCTTGTGTCATGACTCTCCACAAATCACAGGGTGGAACATTCGACGAGACTGTTTATTCTTATGAAAAATCTCATCAACAACAGCTCGTTCACGTTGCATTATCACGAGTTACAAGCCTCGAATGCCTTTTTATAGTATCACCTACTCAAGACCATGTATTTTACCATGGACAAAAGAATTCTGCTACCACAGCACCCCTGACAACTGCACTCGAGCGCTTGACTCTAAATCCACTTCGCCCATACCAGCAACTCTTATTAGACTTCATGCAGGATAAACTTGCGATCCTTACGATCAACTGTCAAAGTCTCAGGGCTCACCAAACGGATTTCGACGACATTATTTCCCAAAATTGTACGTTGCTCATGTTGGCCGAGTCGTGGTTAGGTAATGACGAAAGTCTTTCGATACTCAACTTCGATTGCTGCGTACAATTTAAACGACCGGGCCACAGAACAGCTCTGGTGTTGTGATCTATCGCAAACTTTACAACTCACATGTTGTGACTCCTCACGTGGACATTATTTACCGACAAACAAGTGGACTGGGTATTGCTAGTCAAGATATTGGGGACATATGTGCGGCAGAATGCATATTTGAAAAGGGCCAAACAGTGATTTCGGTGGCCGTAAATATTTCTCCTAAATAAACGGTTCAAAAAATTACAGATTTTCTACATTTTGTACTTTTACCACGTACCGAAGATGGTTATGCTCTTTTAAAAACAAACTATCACTCGCTTCCCATGATTTTGAGTGGTGATTTCAACGTTAACTTCAGTTTGCCAGAAGCTGAGCCGCTCATAGCTTTTTTTACTAAAGAATTAAAGCTCGAAAGGAATACAAATTGAAATATTTCGACAACTAACAGTGGTACTGTTATTGACGCTGTTTTTTCAACGGTTTTTAAATACTTTGAAATCACAAGTATATGTGTCATATTTTACTCATCATAAGTCTATTGTATTCATTCTTTCCCTAATTTAACAAGAATAAATATTTTGGATAAAAAATTGCATCACTTTTAAGTAAAATTTTCATTAAAGATATAATTATTCGATAGAAAACTCTATTTCCAATCATACTCGATTCAAACTCAATTCAATCTCACTCAGTTCAATCACCCCCCCAAATCATGGGAAGCGAGTGATAGTTTATTTTTAAAAGAGCAAAACCATCTTCGGTGTATGGTAAAAGTACAAAATGCAGGAAATCTTTAATTTTTTGTAACCGTTTGATTCGAGAAATATTTATGCCCACCGAAATCCCTGTTTGTCCATTTTCAAGTCTATTGTATCCACTCTTCCCCAAATTGAACAAGAATAAATATTTTTGATAAAAAAATTGCATTTTACTCCTTGTGCTATAAATAAGTACAGTTTTCATTAAAGATATAATTATTCGATAGAAAATTATTTCCGATCATACTTGATTCATTTTTTTTCAGGATTTAAGTTACTATTGCGTATTTACCACGATAACATGTCAGATGTTACACATCATATACGACTACTGTAAGGTTCGTTTCTTTTTTTTTGAAGTTATACTTCTTTTTGGGCGTAAGGGGTAAATTTTTACGATGCGCGTGCACGCCGTCATGGATGTGGAAATGCTTTTAGAAATATACAGAACGGGACAGATCATTCCCGCCTTCAAAATTCTTAAAAAAATATTTTCCTTCACTTCCCTGAAGAAGGGGCAACCCGGGTTTGAACCGGGGACTCGATGTGCAGTCGAATACTCTACCACTGAGCTTTACCAAAGCTATCTAGAAAGACTAAGCTCTGACACTGCAATCACTTGAAAGTAGTCACGTGATCAAAGGAGGGACGAATTTAGCGGGAGAAACGATTACATTCACACTTCTATCTTGTATACTGAAGTAGTTTATAGATTATCCCACGTGTATTTATATTCATTACTCAGGTGAAATTGACTGGATTTTCTGGGAAAAAGATTATTCTGGATTTTTTTATTAACCATAAAGAAAAAGGTACAATATTTATATTACTGTATCATTTTATTCTTGTCATTGAATTTTTTTCTTTTGAGTCTTGAGAACATGATGTAATAAACTGACGCATATATGCCAACATCCTTGATTATTTGTAAAAAAAGATATTTTGTTTCATAAGAGAAAATAGTGTTTATAAGTGTAAAATTAGTGTTTTGTTTTTTCTGTCACAAATCTTAATTAACTGAAAAGTATTATTAACTTAACCTAAAGCTGCACACATTTCATAATAATGCCTTGTTACTGTTGTGTACCAAATTGTTCCTCTAATAAACCGGGGCAGCCGTACGTTTCTGTGTTTCATTTCCCAAATATGAACATTTGTTACAAACTTGGAAAAAGAAAATTCCTAGGGATTTTAAAAATACTAACAATAGTGTAGTGTGCATTAAACATTTCCCTGAATCTTTCATTGGGAGAAAAGATAAAATTACAGACAAGACTGGTACTGTTATAGAAATACCTAGAGTGTATCCAAAATTATCAGAGAATGCATATCCTTGCATTTTCCCTGGTTTTGTCCATCCTACTTGAATGAAAAAATTAAAGAACGCTCGGTGACAATTCAACGAAAGGAAAAAATGAAACAATTAGACGAACACAACTGCTTACTAATTTCATTAAGAAAGACGAAATTACCAGTTTTGAATGTTTAAAAGAAAATCTGCTAATGCGAGAAAATCCCATATCTGATTTCTTATCAAAAAATAATGTTCTAAAACATGATTGTAAAAGTAGCATAACATTTATTTTTATTAGGTACGAAAATTGTCCTATTTTAAAATCCCTGAAAATAAATACACATCTCTCTATTATTATATTTAATAATAATCGTGAATTAAATATACCTTCCGTTGGAAAAATTCTTAATAATCCTCCTAGGTTAACATATTTCAGCGAATTGTTAAATATTCTTAATACAGTAAATGTCTGAAGAAATCTGTTCCATTAATTCTGTTCCTCATCATGTTTTGTCTATTCAATCGTGGGAAAAGCATATTGAAAATTGTAATGCTGAAAATTTTGAGGCGCAGCAAATTTGTTTCATTGCAGTTCAATTTAATTTGCTTTCGATAGTGACTTTCAACATTAATTCGCATTTGATTTTGGCTTTCTTAATTAATGTTGATTGTTGATGCGTGTTTGTTTTAATGTTAATTTTGTTTCATTGCTTTTCAATTTCATTCGCGTTTCATATTGGATTTCAACATCAATGTTGATTGTTGATGCGTGTGTTTGTTGTAATGTTATTACTATGTTGGTATGGCAATATAAGTGTTTACATAATCAACTATTAACACAATTTTTTTATGAAAACACTTATTTTGCATACTGTGGAGTGACCTGTGGAACAGGGTCCTCGCCCCTCACTCTGAAACTGTGATTTAAATATAATATTTAATTCACAGGCTAATGGTTCCACACAAATTAGTTTTTTTTAAAAAAAAATAAATGGTAGTTTTAAATGTTAAAAATAATATAATAAATTGACACTTTTATCAATTTTATATGTTATGTTTAACGTTTATTTTATCGATGCACATACGAGTTAGCATTTTTTGATTCTGAAAAATATGCACTATTTCTTAAAACTGCAATAGTCCGTTTAACACAAAGAAATTTTGAAAAAGTATATCATGCTGGAGCTTTTTCTTACAAAAGTAGAGAAAGCCCGTGCAACGCCGGGCCATACATTTAGTATATTAAAAGATAAATTAGACTGCCCAGAAATGTTTAGGGACACTGCAATATTCATCAAACATATTTTAGATTTCTGGCAAATAAGGAATATTAAAAATCCAACTAAGGGTCAAAATCTTAAATTGAAAAACAGTGTTCCTTTTTCATCAATGGATGATGCTAGATCCACTTTTTTTTTTCAAAATTTGTTCAGTGGCTGGACTGCTGGAAAAATTTAAAACAAAATAAACGAGAAGATTGTTTAAGCGAGGAAACATTTTTGCTTTGAGGCATACGGTAAATACCATCCCAGAACTAATAAAGTATCTTTTGATGCAGCAGAATTTCAAATATGCTTTAACTAGAAACTTCCAAACTGATAATTTAGAATCCAGATCTAGGCAATACAGACAAATGTCCGGAGCAAATTATCATGTCACTGTGCAGGAAATTTTGCAAGCTGAAAAAAGTTGGGCATTAAAAGCGTGTTAACTTTGCACTCAGATAAATATGGTACTATCTCACTAAAAAATTCAATTTCAAATAATTCAGGTGATATATTTCTTGCTAAAGTAAATATTACATATTTCAACGAAATATTAAACATTAGAAATAAATTAGATGATATTTCAATCAAAGAGTATCAAGCATTAATGTATATAGCGGATTATTTTGTGCATAATATAAAATTCGAATGCTCCGATTGCAAACATACATTTGTTTTAGATAAGCAGCTTAATTTCGACTCGGAAAATGTCGAAGGGACAAAATATTTGTGACTTCTGGATAGAGGAGGTTAAAAATGCCCACAGAGATACTGTTATGAAAGTCATTTCAACGCAATATTTCATTTGTAATTTGTTAATATCGAAAACATTCGAATCGAAGTTTCTTAAAGTTGATTGCCAATTACCTTGCCTTACAAGTATAACAGAAGCGTATCTGGAATTACATGAGTTCTGTAATGTCTTGCATTCGTTTCATTCACCTTGTGTAAAAAAAAAAAAATTTTAAGATACCTAAAATTTCATATTTTAAAAAAGTATTCGTTGCATTTGGGAATATATGCTTAAATTATTCAAAAAAGCGCAGTAGAGAAATTTTAACCGTGAAGGATAACCGAAAAATGAAGAAATTTAAGTCCAATTAAATTAATGTTTGCTTTTTATATTTTTCTGTTTTATTTATTTAAAAATTCAATTATCGATTCGTATGTTATTCATTGTACATGTATATTCTTGTAATATTTTTATACTACATACATTTTATGAACATGTTTAATTGTTCACATAACTATTACTTGAGGAAAAATTATTTATTTATTTACGTTATTCGTTTAAATTATTTTCATAAAGATTTTAGCACTCAAAGCGTGTAAAATGTTATTTTTTAAATTTCAAAACTTTTGTTTGATTTTTAGATATTTTTATCATAGCATAATATTGAATTTTAATGCATATGCATAAAAATAATGTAATTAATAATTTAAATAATATCGTCACAAATGCAAATGATTCAAAATTTGAAACTAATCAGTACGTTACCTCATCAATGATATATTCCTTGAAAAGATTTTTTTTTCCGATTATTTATAGGTAAGTGTATTTACTAATGTATATATATTTTTAACGTCCTATATTTGCTATGTAATTATTTTGGTGTCTAAACTGTTCATGTCATATGCATTTTTTATGTAATAATATATGCCTCAAATACTTTACTTTTCATATTTTCTTTACAAGTAAATGTTTATTTTTTTATTTTACTGGATTGAAATTATTTTTATATTTTTGATTATTGAATGAATGAATTATTTTAATTGAATATTTTTAACGTATAAATCTAGAATCTATTTTTACTATATAATTACTGTGGTGTCTAAAACTGTTTATCATTTCTATATTTATATGCATATTTGGATGCATTTTTTTTATAATTCTTTCTTTTGTTATGATTCATTGATTCTATGAGCATGAAAAATGTCATTTCACAGGAAAAAGGAACTCCAGCAAAATGTTCCTAAATTCACAAGATTTTTATTAATATGCCTCTAATTCTCTACTTTTCAAATTTTCTCTGCAAGTAAATGTTTTTTTTTTACTTTATTTGATTGAAATTATTTTACATTTAGTCAATTTTTTCTTAGATTTTTCTTATACTGTTAGTAGCCTTTCATGAGTGATTTTGTCCCTTTTCCCGGGAAAATATTATGAATCATTCTAGCGTATTAATACATAACTTTGATCAGAATATATTCGAAGTGAGAATTAAAAAAAATAATCAATATAAATGCGGAAATATTCTGAGTTTATGACATGAAAAGAAGAAGCTGGGGTCACTGGGAAACTGGGTTAAAAAACAAACCCTCCGTCCCATGTCATAATGTATCCGAGTCCTTAATGTTGTTTTATGTGGTTAATAAAGGTCCTTTAAAGTAGTTCTTTGTCGTCTGAATTTAGTTCGTGTAGAATCGGCTGACGAAAACGTCTCTTGTACACTTGTTGTTTTGCCGTCGGTCATGTTGATTGATGACGATTCGGTGCTGCTATGGGGTGGCGACTGACGTGAGACGCGTGTCCGGGAGGTGGTAGCAGAAGCTGTCAGTCCTGATGATGGATGTTCTGTCGTCGTGCAAGGATGGGGTTCTCTGGGCAACTCTGTTGCGAGAGAGGAAGCACTTCTATTGTATGGAAAAGTAAGAACCTCTCTACTGACTGTGCAGGGATAGTATTACTGAATTTAAGAGGGGGAAACTGGGAAATTTGCATTTTTGGGTGCAGCGAATGTATGCTTAGAGATGAAAAGAAAATGAAATAATTAAATAGCAAGTATATAAAGTAAAAAATTTTACTTTTTGGGTTCATTCATCAAAAGATGAATGAAAGGGTGTAATGTTAGGGTAGATTGTAAGAGTCTAGGAGAATTCTCCTAGGCCTCTTGTGGTGATCCATGGGTGTGTAATTTTCTAAATTCATGATGTTAGTATTACTGGTGGTGGGAAATTTATCATAAATTTTTTTCGCAACGTCTTGAATATGTTTCTTAAAGGGGGGAAATTTTGTGGCT